TAGGGAAAGGGAATAGAGTAGAAAGGAGTTGGTTTCTGTGAGACATTTGGACTCTGCCATTTCCAGCAGCGTAACGCCCAGCATCACTTCCCCTTGTTTGCCCTCAGTGTTGCCCACCAGTTTTGCCCGTTTACCTTCCCCAAACCTTTACCCACAAAGGCAGTTTCGTAGAGCAGGGCTTCCACCAGCCCGTGACCCCATCCCAGGGCTGCGAGCTGCAAGCACTGGACCAGGCAGCCTTTAGCAATCTATTTTCTGTTGGTTTCTTCTTTTCAGCACGCTCCGAGACCGATCCCCCCGGCCCCCACGCAGGAACATGGCTTCCACGGGAACCCCGTTTTTGGTCACGGTTCTTTTTTTTTTCTCCTTTCATCTTCGCAGCACCTACGGGACCAGCGTCCTCCTGCCTGCCCGGGTACCTGCCAAGTGCCCAGCCCCAGGGTAGGCATCTTCATCTTGTTGCTCAGCTCCAAGCAGGGGCTCGCCATGGTGTCTGTGGGTGTCCTTCTGTCCGTGCTTGCCCACTGGGGCTTAAAGACACGGGGCCGCCCCGTTTTTTTTTTCTCCTTTCATCTTCGCAGCACCTACGGGACCAGCGTCCTCCTGCCTGCCCGGGTACCTGCCAAGTGCCCAGCCCCAGGGTAGGCATCTTCATCTTGTTGCTCAGCTCCAAGCAGGGGCTCGCCATGGTGTCTGTGGGTGTCCTTCTGTCCGTGCTTGCCCACTGGGGCTTAAAGACACGGGGCCGCCCCGCCTCAGCCCACGGCCACCGCCCCGCCGGGGACGTCCCCTCCCCTCCACCTCCCTCCCCGCCTCCGCCCGGGTTTCACCACATGTGCGATGCAACATGCCCTTGATTTTGGAGCTTTTGGTCAGCTGCGGAAGCCTGATGCTAAGAGGATTTGTTTGTTCTTGCATTGAACAAACTAAAAGCAAATGCCGTAGCAATGAGCTTGGCCCTTGGTGCGTGTTCTTCCGCAGAGAGAATCTCATGGGTGCCAGGAGAATGCTGCATGAGGCAATGGGTGTCTGGGCTGCTGAAGGATTTTCTCAGTTACTCTCAAGTGGTGACAAATGGACTGAAATTTCCATCTTTTGTCCTAGAAAATATTAAGCTCACCTGCTGTTCACAGAGGAATTCCTTAAAAGGGGACATGGTCTTACCTGTACAGAGATTCTGCATTCCCTTTCTTTGCAGCAGGGTGGGCTCCCGTTGTGCTCCCCGCAGGACCCTTGTGTCGGTCTGTGTGAGGGCATCGGTTCCCTGTGCTCAATTAAAATGTCAGCCAGCAGTAGGGTGTCGGAGGCCGCAAAAGGGATTTGTGATTACAGCTTGTCTACAGGTAGCGCTTTAATCCAAATAAACCCCTTGCTTTGTATGTGGGGTCAAAATGCATTCAGAGGGCTGATGTTTAAAGGCTGTAGCAAACTTTATATGAACAGAGTGCCTCAGAAATCGAGAGCCAGGGGCCTGGGAGGGCTGGGCTACTTAGCTGTTCTCAGGAAAAAGTTGCTTCATTTGAGGAAGCTGTGGTGAAATCCAGGCCATCAAACTCAATGGGAGAGCTGCTAAGGAGTAAGTAACAGGAGAGGTTCACCCTGACTCTCACTTTTATGGCTCTAGCTAGTCAGGTTTTCAGTGCTGTGCTTGTCACTGTGGTGTCTGAATGCCTTTTAACAGGCACTATGGGTGCTGAGTTCTTCCAAGAGTGATGTTGTTTGTTTATGTATGTTAATATGAGTTCAGACACCTGATGCTAAGCATCAAAGCTGTGGTCCCATTTTGCAGTGGGTTTTAGCTCCCTGTGTGTACAGGAGGCCTCCTGCCTCTTGCACTCTAGGGGCTTTCACCACCCAATCTAACTGTAACTTTATCTAATTTCTCAAAACAGTTTTTCTGATCATTTTTAAAATTGCATGAATTTTTGCTGTAGCTTCTAAACAGTACCAGCCATAATTCTTCATTATATATTAAGTTCCTCCCACTTTCTCATGTTTCTATTCTGCATATGTTGGCACAATTACTGAGACTAGGGTCTCATCAATGTAAGTTATTTCAACTTTTTTTTTTTTTTTTAAATAATCCCAGTTCAAACAAAGACAAAAGCAGACATGAATGCAGACACCAGACAAACATTTTGTCGGGAAAAGGTTCAGGGAAGTCTCCTGATGAGACTAAAAAGGCAACTCAGGTCTCAGGCATGGAGCGTGAGAATTGCATGGATGATGCTGACTGTATGTTCTCAGGCACTGCCCCTCACCCAGCTCCTTCCTTGCTCTGTCACCTCCCCCTCCGCCCCCCACCCCGGATGGTGTCCATGGTGCTCTGCATCCGCTCCCCGGCCAGCATCACACACAGCTGCTGGAGAGGCTGAATAATCATGGCAATAAGGTCCTTTCTCCTTTACAATCCCATTCCTTCCTAACCTTTTATAGAGCCTGTCTCTTTAGATATTGACAGCTTTATCCATCTACCTAGTTCAAAAGGCTGATCTTACTGCCCTGTGCCTTTTCACAACGTTGTTTTTATTGTTATTTTTGCAGGAAACACATGGATCCCTATGGAAAGTACTAAAAATATGATGTAATTTCAACACCCTACTTTAGACATCTCATAGGCTTTGTGTTTATCAGAGTAGGGATTCTCTGCTTCTTGAGTCTTCCTTTTTCTTTTGCTTATATTGCTATAAACTCCTCCTTGCTCGTGGTTGACCCCTGACTGACAGTTTACATGTTGTGTAAGTTCCACTGGTGTCTTCTTGTGAGTTGTGCAGTGTGAATGAGGGAGAATCAAATATTTTATGCTTGGATTGATAATGTTTGCGTGGTGGGTTGACCTTGGCTGGACACCAGGTGCCACCAAGCTGCTCTATCATTCCCCTCATCAGCAGGACAGGCGGGGAGAAAATGAGATGGGAAAAAAACCTCGTGGGTCAAGATAAAGGCAGTTTAATAAAAAAGCAAAAGCAAAGGCTGCGTGCAGAAGCAAAAAAAAAGAGAACAAAGATTTTATTCTCCACTTCCCATCAGTAGGCGATGTCCAGCCACTTCCTGGGGAGCAGGGCCTTGGTATGCATAGCAGTTGCTCTGGAAGACAAATGTAAGTAATGGATGCACGCCCTCCCTGCCCCCCTTCCTCCTCCTTTCTCTTAGCTTTTATTGCTGAGCCGATGTCATATGGTAAGGAACATCCCTTTGGTCAGTTTGGGTCAGCTGTCCTGGCTATGCCCCGTCCCAAGATTTTGCCCACCCCCAGCCTACTCATGAGGGGCCAGAAATGTTGGGGAGACAGCCTTGATGCTGTGCAAGCACTGCTCAGCAATAGCCAAAACATTGGTGTGTTATCAACACCTTGCGAGCTACCAATGCAATGCACAGCACTATGAGGGCTTCTATGGGGAAGATTAACTCCATCTCAGCCAGATCCAATACAGTTTGCTTACCAAAATATAGAGGCAATTGTGAGTTATTGTGCCACTAGTACATTCTAACCATGATGTTTGATGTGATTTCTTAAATTTTTTGTGCACTTGCATTATTTAAGCTGCTTTTACAAGACAGTATTTTCAGTTGATTGGCAGATTCATGTTCTGGGTTTATATTTGAACAAAATCTCTTCTTTCTCTCCTTGGCCTGGTTTCCAAGCCATTGGCTTAACCAAACTTTGTTGTCATCGTCCTGCTGCCTTGGCTGTCATCACACTTTGCAGAATGAAAAGGATACCAAGTTGATATGAAGCAGAGAGAGAGAAGCAAAATGTAGGCAGGGAAACAAAATTTTCAAACTGACATGACAACTCCAGTATGCTCAAACTAGATCAGTGGGAGGAGGACTCTTCTAATGAAAACAAATACAAAAAAACCCCCCAAACCGACCCCCTAAAAAAAAGGAAAAATCCCAAAGCTACTGCAAGAGATGTGAGGAATTTGACAGAAAAGAGAGTGCAAGATCTACAGAGAAAAGACAGAAAGAAATCTAAAGATTTTATAAAATCAATAATTGTACATTGATTTTAAGGCCAGAAAGGATGACACTACTCTTCTGCACTGACCTCTGATTATATTGACAAACTTTTACACCAAGCCCATGACATATACTTATTGCTTAATCTATTATTAAAGACACTTGGGTGCTACAGCAATAGAAGCTGACTAAAATCATGTAAAGAACAGACTAGAAAATGTTGAGACTGATCTACAACTTACCTTTAATTGCATCAAATGTTGGTGTGAAAGGTATAAGAACCAATCATAATTGGCCCTTTTTTTTTTTTAAACTGGGTGTCTAGACAGAGACTTCAACACTTTTCCTCCCTCTAAATCTGTCTTCTAAGACCTGAGGTTTCCAAATTGACACTTTTTAAATAATTTACTTCTGTAAAACCAGTAACTGTTGGGAGAAGGTAACTGATCACTGGTTTTGATCAGTTCAAAATTGTTTATAATTTGGATGCTTCACTTTACAGTCAAGCCAGCCCTCTCTGTGCAAACGTGCTCCAAGCCTTTACACACTTAGCCGGTCTGGCATTTTAGGTCAGGTGAAACAGATGATGTCCAGATTTGCCTTAAGTATTATCTGTCAGACTGAACTGTGCTGTGTCTTTGATCAAATTTTTAGCTATATATGTGTGTATTTTCTTCTGATACCGTGACTGATTAGAATTATACTGTAGCAAATCACAAACCTTCAGCTTGTGTGAGTATCATTTCTTTTCAAGGACCCATTTTTGCATTCTAATCCACCTTGGAGGTTGACCTCTGTGTTATTCTCCATCTCAGCACTGTATGAGGAGGGGTTCCTTTTCTGCTGGGGGCTTGTTGCCCAGCCAAATATTTGTATATTGGGCTGACCGACTTCTAAGGGCCCTGTCCATCAATCCTCTGTCACTTAGCCCAACCATAAGCTCTCCTCAGAAAAGCTGGACTGGAGAGGGAAGCCATGGAAATCCCCGCTCTTTGCTGAAGAATCACATTCCCAAGAGCATCAAAGACAGTTTGCAGTGGAGGGGGGGACTTAAAATTGCTGAATAATGTGACTACTAAACAACCAAAGAAAGGAGGAGAAACAAGGAATTAAGAACTGCCTGGATCCCAGGCCTTCAAAACAGAGAGGATCCAGCAGATGGATGTGCTTGCAACAAACTTGTGTTCATTGAGAGGGGGTGAGTGGGTGAAGCTGCCATCAACCTCTCGTGCCGGTGAACCTTTCACCCCATTGAGCACCCACAGTCAGTGGGACAAAGTTCAATTTTCTGCTCTCCTTAACTAATGCATTTCATCATACCTGTTTTTACACTTTCTTCTTAAGGTAAGTCTGTGCCCACAGATATGGATACTATAAGATATGAGTACATGAGTCATTCTCTCTCTACCTCCTGCTTGTTTAACACTGGGGCCAGTTGTGTCCTAGCCAAGAATGGCCTCGTTGGTACTAATACAAAGAGCGTGGGGAGAAGCACCCGTGGACATGGGTGTCATGTCCCCTGCTGCTGCTCCCCAGCCACGCTTCCTGTG